TTTTTATCTTTTCTTTTGTTAATGTGATGTATCACATTGATTGATTTGTGAATACTGAACCAGCCCTGTAACCCAGGAATGAATCCCACTTTTTCATTTATTTTTTTGAGAGAGACCGAAAGAGTGCGAGCCGGGTAGGGGCAGAGAGAGAGGGAGAATTCCAAGTAGGCTCCACATGGTCAGCGCAGAGCCCCATGTGGGGCTGGAACTCACAAACTGTGAGATCACGACCTGAGCTGAAATCAGGAGTTGGGCGCTTAACCCACTGAGCCACACAGGCACCTCCATATACACTTTTAAATGAATAGGCTCCCTGCCATTATGAATCCTATAGAACGGAGACAACGGAACACACAGAGGAAACAGACGAACACAGAACCTTTGCCGTGTTACTCTCACAAAGGAATAAACAGCTCCTCTTTCTGCAGTGTATACAGATAATAGGCTAGCTTCCTGGGTAAGTATGAACTTTCCTCTACCCTGGCTGGGATTTGGACTTGCACTTGGTAAATGTGTACAGCATGTTCAACCCAGACAGCTTTCCACAATCAGCACCTATATAGCCAAAGAATTACTTTGAGACAATATCCATAGAGAACTAACTTGCCCCCCACCATAAAGTCTTTGATGGGGAAGTTTTAGGAACTGATGAAGGCCCAAGGAGGATGATATGGGGTGAAGACGGAAATGTGATTACCATTCCCTGTTCTGAGTCAGGCCTCGGTAGCCAAAAGTCAGCCAGGGTGAAAGCAGTCTCCGCCTCAAGTCAGCTGTCTATGCACCATCATTACCATGGACAGGCCTCTGAATAGGATTCCTAGTTTTGTTTTTTCACATTTTCAAGTAAAACAGGCCTCTGAGAAAAGGAACTACCATTCGCCCAGGCTTTAGCTTTCCTTCTGTGGAGGGCACCATCAAAAGTTGGCATATCAATTATTCCCCTGCCTTTAAAGTAGATAATTCTGACATAGGATTTTGATGGTTTAAAAGATTAGGACAAAAGCTCAAGGTAGGAAGGAAAAATATGGGTGAGAAAAAAAGAACTTTTTTCCGCTTTCCATTAGTATTTTCAAAAGAACAGATTTACTTTTCTCTCTCTTCTGAGTCCCTGACAAGGACCTAGTTCTTCCACATAATCCCAAATCAGGACCAAAGCATGATGATTTTCCCACTACTAAACACCAATCCACATAGATTCAGTGGGGCTTTGTGCAAAGGGCGTGAGCTCCGCATCCAGAGACCTGTGTTGATTTCTTGCTCTGCCATTTGCAGTTTTGTGATTCGGGCAAATTACACAACTAATCTGAGCTTCATTTTTATAAAATGGGAATAAGAACAGCTTCCTAGCAGGTATGTCACAAGGACTAGAGATAGTATGTGTAAAGCACTGGGCACAGTTCCTATTCCTGGGATTTAAAAGGTATATAATACATGGCTATAAAAACATTGTATCATTTTCATCTTTATAAACGGGTTCTTGTAAAGTCTTACAAACTTCACATCTCCCCTGACAATCTGAAGAGGTACACACACAAGGTTGGGGGAGGGTGTGTGTGTGTGTGTGCGTGTGTGTGTGTGCGTGTGTGTGCGTGCGCTTAGGATGCAGAAGGACACAGCAGCACAGCCAGAGATCTTCAGGCTCTAATTCTGTTGCTGAGTCCAAATGGGGTCTCTTTCTCTGTACTCCTCGTAAATTCTAAATGAAATTCTAAATGAACTCAAAATCATGAGTGTACCTTATGTCCCATCCTGTGAATCTGCAGCTGGCAAAATAAAAGTGCCACCTTTTACCACAGAAAGTAGTCTGAAAAACAAGGGTTTTCCAAGCGCATTGCTGAATTTATGAAAAACAAACAGCTGAGCCAGGTGACCTGATAACTTCACAGTGAGGAGCTTTAGTCTGGCTCTAAGGAGAAAAAGAGCTCCTTGTGTTGAGGGTTTTTTTTTTTAATGTGTACTGATTAATGGTTTTCTCCATGTGAGATGCCAAGAAAGACGTGAGCGAAGAGAACCTTTCCTCCAGCTTGGCAGAGGTACCGTAAGCTGCTCAGGTTGACTGGAGGTGACCCCACACCCGTCCTGGCCAGCACTGTCACAGACACAGCCACACATCCATAAAGCAAGTGGTCAGATCATCTCCACACAAACCTGGAGCGCACTTCAGGAGTGCTTGGGCTGCCGGGTGTCCAGCCAGTCCCCATGCATGACCTTAATTCCCCACCGTCCCAGAATTCAGCTCAAATGCAAGGTGGCTGGCTGTTACTTCTACTTCTCTGTTGCCTCTTCTGGGTCGACCATCCCAGCTCACTCAGCCCAGCCCGCCTGCTAACAACTATGAAGGTGGCAATATGAAGCCAGGGGGCTCCTGAGGTCAATTCAAATTGAACACTGAAACCAGCTAAAACAGCAGGCTGAGTTACACCTACCTGAAGTGTACAGTGTAATAGCTTCCTTCACACGGAGGCCAGGGGCCAAGCCAAACAACCTCTATATCCATCAAGTTTGGAAACTGAAGAGTTGGGGAGGAGGAAGGCAGTGGCTTGCCTTTTTTTTCTGACCAAGCTCAAAACCAATGTGACGAAAGCTCGCTGGAAATTTCTATTGCCTAGTCTAAGTATTTACTTAAACTTCAAACCCAGCAATTTAGACTGAAATGTAACCAAAAAGCAAAAAGTATTTGGTTGTGTTGGAGAGTGAAAAAAAGAGGAGGGGGTGGGGGTGGGGGTGGGGTGGATTTCTGCCTACATTAACCCTCCCAGCAGCAGACATGTTCACCACAATATTTATTTTAGTAAATGTAGAGAAAGTGAAAAACATCACTTTTGCCTCTAATATTTCAAAGCCTTGGACCTCCTTTACAAAAAATCTATATGTGACTAATGCCATCACGCAGACTCAGAAGGCTTTGCTGGCATGAGGACCAGAGCTGACAGCCCCATTTACCGACTGAACAAACACCCCACAGAAGATTAAACATGGTCCATGCTCTCCCCAAGCAGCCACATCGCCAGAGCCTGAGTGCAGACCTAAAAACCACTGCGAGGGGAAAAAAAAAAACTGGTTCGGTCTCTAAACGTGTCAAATTTGGGGCCTCGTCAGTTGAGGGCTCGCTCTCGTCCCTAGAGCCAAAATATTTCAAAAATAAACGAAGCTCCCAGTCATAAAATTAACCACATTTTAGCAGGGTCTACCAAAAATTACAACTGAACACCCAGCTCCAAAACCTCTAGGCTTGTGCTGCTGCCTCCCATGAAACCAGTGTGAGGGCTTTGCCCAGGAGGGCAGAAACGATTCCTCCCTTCTCACGGTCTGCAAAGACGCTTGGCCAAAAGAAGCGACTCGAATTCACAGTAAATCATTCACCTGAAGCCCAAGTGGCTAACTGAGGTTTCTAAGGAAGAAGTCTCTTCCACATTCAGCTCTGGATCCGCACCTGCACCATCTGGGCGGGTGGGGGCTCCCTCAGAAAGCTGGCAGCCTGGGTGCGCGGGATCGAACGTGGCAGTGTGAACGTGGCCCCACGGAGTGGCTATCCCAGATCCGAGGAGGGACCGGCACCTTCCTCCTCAGGCTACACCCTCTCTGAGCGCCAGACCCAAGAGGCGAGCAGTACCGGCCCACTCACCTCCCTCTGGGGGAGGCACCCGGCGAGGCCCTCTGGGCGTCCCTCGCTGCTCAGCTCCTGTTCACCTCGCCTTTCCCTTCCTTCCTGCCAGTTCGTCTTCATCCCCAGCTCCTTCCTTTCCCTTCTGCCCCTTTCTTGAGAGTCAAACAAATGAAACAAACAAAACTCCAGAAAACTGGTTGTTGGGAGGAAAATGAATGTGGCATAAAGAGATATAGTTAATAAGAAAAAGCAGTGTTCTTTGGGGCATAAAATAGGACCGTCATTTAAAGTAGACATTTTGTTTACTTAAACCACACTCCCTAAATCTAGAGAAAAAGTGTGGGATTCTCTCAGAGAACAAAAATCCCGCTAAGGAAAACTTCGTAAATGTCTCAGGAGGGCACTAAAGCATCTTCTTGGGGTAAATACCGATTTGCCAAACAGACAGAAAGTCTTCTTCCAGCCTAAACTACAGATGTACTGGGGGGAGTTTCCAGGGTTGACTATCCTGACTTCAGCATTACCAATTAAAAGAGAATAGCTATAAAAAGTGCAGATACTACTGTCAGGCAATAAACTAGACCTTATCGGCGATGGTGGTGCACATTACAAACTTCAAACTCATTCCTTGCTCTAATCCATCAGAAACTTCCTGGCTTTAATAGGCTATAAAGGGCAGGAGCTTTGAAGTCCCTGGGATTAGGATCAGTAATAGACAGACTGAATGAGAAACTAAATGCAGGTGGAACGTACTCTATGACTCCTGAATGAAAAAGAAATCCAATTAATCAGAGAGTCCTCAACCCTAGCTGCCAGCACCAGCCGGCAGCTTACACGGTGGCCAAGGCAAGGGACAAAGCGATTAGGGAGGAGCCGACAGGGACTGTGGTGCACGCTCACTTTACGGAACTGCTTCGAAGCCTGGAGAGGCCAGGCTCTGCTGACTTGTCCAGTTGGAAGTGAGGCCATCCTTTTTTTTTCTTTTTTTAAAGGAAAGCACAGTATCAGAGCTGAGATAAGGAAGGAGAAAACTAATGCCTTTTAAACTGAGTTCTCATGTAAACAAATCGGCTGAGATGGCTAAGGGAAGCTGAGATCTGTTTTCCAAAGGCTGCTGGCCTTTGATCCCACTGATTCCTAAGCTCTCAAGCCCTGTGGCTGCCACACAGGCCCTGTGAGCACAGTAGTCGGGCCACCCCAGAACGAGAATGAGGTGACTGACTAAACTGGGGTCACGCTGCCTCAGATACGGCACTGCTGTCAACAAAGCAGGAAACGTCACAGAAGCCTAAGGAGGCAAATAATTGGGCCATCCCAAAGTGACCCTGCTGAGAAGCACGCTGACACCCAAACCAGGCCTCTCCTGAACCCACCACCTGCCCTCTCTTTTTACCTTCTGGGGGATTTTTATTCTGATTATTCCAGACGACGAGCAGCTTGGACAGACTCGGCACCTTGGACACTTCAGTGATGACCCGGAAGAGGCTCTCCACTCGGTCGTAGGTGAGGACGATGGCGGTAAAACCTTGGGACTGTGGTGGAATCAGGGGGAGGAAGAGCGGGTTGCTCACACTGCCCCACTTCTGCAAGAGAACAGGTGACCATGAGTCAGCGAAGGGTCTGGTAACAATGGGGCTGATCTCTTCCCCATTGCTGTCAATGAGCTAGAACATGGGAGATTTGGTGGCTTTTACCATGACCAGCCAAGAGCTTCTGTATGGACTCTCTTTAATTGACTTTAGCTCTGATGCCACTGAAAAGGGAGCAGAGAATTTCTGTAGCTGAGAAGAGATTTCTAGGTAAACACAGAAGATTCAACACATGCATGATCTCCATGCTCTCCTCAAGTCCACTGAAGTGACAGTAGATCTAAAATATAAATGGACAATGACGGTGGAATAAGGGGAGACACAATGGCTGATGAGCAGTACGGACAGGCTTCTGGAAGACTGGAAGGGTGGAGAAGTGGTAACGGGGCAGGAGAATGAGAGCGGAAGCTAAGTACCTACACAGAGGGAGGGCCATCAAAGGCAAACAAGTCCAAACTGTAGAGCCCCCTCAAAGGCTCAGAACAAAGTTCAGCAGGAACCTTGTGGGGTAAGAGGAGGGGCAGCATTGAAAACAGGAAGACTGGTTAAAAATATGTGTAAGGAGCAAAAGAAGACCCAGATCCACAAACCTTCCCTTCACCCAGCCGGCCAGTCAGCCAGAAAACTCCTCTTCTTGCCCACGCGTGCAGGAGGAGGGGGGTATATTCTCTGGGGAACTGAAGATCTAGGTATGGAAATGTGGACACAGCTAAGAGGAAAATGCAGGTGCAAGTCTATATTCTGAATGATGAGCCCTACAGCCTTCTTGCCCTCCAGCTCCCCAAATGCCGGCAGCCATGTAGCCCACCTACTCTCCACCCTCTCACCGCCCTCCACCCTCTCACCGCCCTCCACCCTCTCACCGCCCTCCACCATCTCGCCGCCCTGCACCCTCTCGCCGCCCTGCACCCTCTCGCCGCCCTGCACCATCTCACTGCCCTGCACCATCTCACTGCCCTCCGGGAAGTAGGCTTGCCCTCACACATACACAGCTTCCTTCTGATCAGGTTTTCTGTGCTTCCCTGGTAATTATGAACAGATCCTAGAGTCACAGCCGTTTCAAGAACATTTTCAGCATAATGACAGAAACCAAATGAACAAATAAAAAGGCAGGAACTCAGAGGAAACAGAGACAATAGAAAAGCAGAAGGATATTAAAACAACATCAACAAATTATATCCTCAGGAAGAGAATTTTTCATTCACGAAATAAGAATAAATTGCTATTTTTATTTAAAATGATCTATCAAAGAACAGGAAAGAACTCTTGAACATTAAAAATATAGCTTAATTCTTTTAAAGCAGGATTGAAAGAAAAAGGCAACATATTCCAATCTAGTGAACAAAAAGGGCAGAGATAAAACATAGGACAAAAAAGATGAGAAAATCCAGGAGGTCCAACATCCACCTAACAGGTTCCTGAAAAAGAAAACACAGAATATAGAAGAAACAAAACTATCAAAGAAATAAGTTCTCAGAACAGAAGATAGAAGAGATGTGAATTTTCAAACTGAAAGGGCCCATGAAGTAATTGGCACATTGAATTTGAAAAAAAAAAATAAATAAACAAAAAGCAAAACAAAATATGTCAAAGCACATCATTTCTGACACTGGGAATAAAGAGTGTGAATATATAAAATGCATAAATCAAGGCAATGAGTTCTAGGTGTGCGTTCACTGTACAATTCTTTCAACTTCTCTGTAAGTTTGAAATGTTCTCAAAATAAGGTTTAAAAAGTACTGAAGGAAATTCAAATTCTTTGCTACCATTAAAACATTCAGTAACTTTTGAGACAGTAATTTAAGCAAAAGTATTTTTGTACTGATAATGAGGGTTAAAACAACTTTATATTTTTAAACAGCTTTTTTGAGATATAATTCAAATAATATGCAATCCACTCACTTCAAGCATAAAATGGTTTTTGGTACATTACGTTAATTTTTTTAAACCATGGTCAAATATAACATGAAATCAGCATTTTAACCATTTTTAAGGGTACAGTTCAGTGGCATTAATTACGTTCACATTCATATGTTGTTATGTGAAGAGTCCAGGACCGAACTTCAGCTCTGTCAGAAGGTAGCTGAACATGAAGTGTCCTATCTGTCATTCTGGCTGCTTACCCTTCCCTAGAGTCTGTCCTGCTCCGGCATTTGCAAGGTCCCCCTTCAACCTCATCCTTATCACTGATGGACACCCATCACCACGTAGAGGACAGCAGCTGTTTGCCAGATGTAACAGTGTGGGACAGGAAATGTACACAAACACACTGAATACACATGGGATGGGAACTCACAGAGACTGAATGGGACTCCAGGAGTCCTAATGTAACCAGGATATTAAAGCCAGAATGTCCACAACAGGCCATAATTTGACTGCACAGCCACAAGGCACAATAGGAAAGGCTATCTACTCAGCGCGGACTTTCTGTTTCCATGACCTCACGCTCTGAGATTAAGCCACAGTCTTAGGAAGGTGCCTGGATTTCAGCACTGGTAGCCCAGCATCTCGTCACAATTGTAGGAACTGCTTTTCTTTTCTACCCCAAATCCTATTTTTAAAAAATTTTTTTGTTTACTGTTTATTTATTTTTGAGAGAGAGACAACGTGAGCAGGGGAGGGGCAGAGACAGAGGGAGACACAAAATCCAAGGCGGGCTCCAGGCTCTGAACTGTCAGCATAGAGCCCGACGTGGGACTAGAACTCACAGACAGAGATCATGACCTGAGCCAAAGTCAGACGCTAAAATGACTGAGCCATCCAGGCGCCCCAACCCAAATTTTATTCTTTATTTTCTCCTGACTTTTATGGAAACTGAAGTCAGGAAGTAGCCTTGTGCTCAAGTCACAATCAGTCTCGAAGGTGCACGGTCTCTGTGCCGTCACCACCCCAACCGGCTCATCTACTCCTCCTAACACCATACTCTCTATGCTAGAAAAACACCGCTATACATGGAAAAGACAGAAAAACAGATCTTTTGAGGAAGAGTGTAAAATAATGTAATGTGTGATGAAAGATTTACTGAGTATTTACTAAGTATCTCATTTGAGTCTCACTCACAACAACCCCCAAGATAGTTACAGTTATTCTCATTTTACAGATGATGAAACTATAAGATTAAAAATAGTGAATGACAAGGAAGGAAGGAAGGGAGGGAGGGAGGGAGGGAGGGAGGGAGGGAGGAAGGAAGGAAGGAAGAGGGGAGGGAAGGATGGTTACATAGTTAAGCGTCCGTCTGGCTCTTGAACACTGGATGGTGGAGGTTCACAGCCCTTCCCCACACCCTCCTCCTCTGGGTCCAATGTAGGCATCACCATTTTATAGACTCTGGAAACTGGAACTGTGCGGAATGCCAGAGTTTATTACTTCTAACTCTTCTCTGAGACAAAAATGCTGGAAGTTCTTTATCCTTGATAATCACATGTGGACCAGTAGGCAAGAGCCCACACCAAACTCTACCATTTCCAAANGAAACTATAAGATTAAAAATAGTGAATGACAAGGAGGGAGGGAGGGGGGAGGGAGGGGAGGGGAGGGGAGGGGAGGGGAGGGGAGGAGGGGAGAGGGGAGGGAATGATGGTTACATAATATGTAAGCTGTCTGGCTCCAGAACACTGGATGGTGGAGGTTCACAGCCCTTCCCCACACCCTCCTCCTCTGGGTCCAATGTAGGCATCACCATTTTATAGACTCTGGAAACTGGAACTGTGCGGAATGCCAGAGTTTATTACTTCTAACTCTTCTCTGAGACAAAAATGCTGGAAGTTCTTTATCCTTGATAATCACATGTGGACCAGTAGGCAAGAGCCCACACCAAACTCTACCATTTCCAAAGGTACAAGGAATAAATATGTAACACTGACACAGAGGAAACACATAAATTTAAAAAGGTAAATACATCTCTAACACAGAAGGAAAAACTATTAAAACCCCAACAAAATGAGGCCTGTTCTTTGGGAGAAGTGGGGAATGCTAACACACTTGAATGCCTGTATGACATTAAGAGGAGAGAAAAGTTCCCTGAGAGATGCGAAGCTCGGTTTTGGAAAACGAATCCCTTGGAATTTAAACTGAGCTCCGCCCCCCCCTCCCCCCAAAGGGCATCACAGCTCTGATTTCAAGGCACTGCCAGGAGAAGGAACCAGAGTCTCGAGCAAGACGACTGATCGGTTCTCATCCCATTGGCCCGCTCCATTCGGGAAGTGGATGGCGGCGGAAGGGGAGGCGAAGGCGGTGGGGGGGGGTGTGGGTAAGACGCGGATGGTAACTTGTCTTGGGTTCTAGTTTTCCACAGTACTCAGCTGCACACCAGGTAGGGCCTGAGAACTGCGGAAGCAGAAGAGGCAGCATAAAGGGGAGACTGAGCACACAAGGAGGAGGCCTGGAATCTAACCAACGCGTCCCCATGAAACACACATGCTGAGGTGGGCACAGACGTAACACAGAAGCGGCCGAGCCACTGGCCCCTGTATTTACTGGGATACAGGCTCGGTGCTTTACTCTAGGATATGCCGCCAGAGTCATCTGAGGCCAGTGACTTCAGAAACTGACTTGACATATTTGGGGTCAGTTTGGGAATCGGGTGTCCTTAATATGAATCCAGGTTCCTTCACTAAGCAGCTGTGTGGCCGGGGCAAAGTACTTAACCTCTCTTGCACCTCAGTTTCCATAATTGTGAAAATAATACTACTTTTCCAGGTGTGAGAAATAGTAATGATAGTAATAATTTCTAACAATGTCAATTATTTACATTTCTTAATTATCACTGCTTAACAACCCAGAGACTGTTAATAAAAGTAAATAGTTAATATATGCAAAGTGCCTCACGCATACAAACATTCGATGAATAGTAGCCAATGGCTGACCTTGCGGGAGTAATAATTTCTCTGGGCTTTACTTTACACAGGCCTTGAAAGTGGGGTGGCAACTGTGAGGGCTCTTCCAGTAAGAAGTCTAGATGAAACCCTGCTTCCTCTCTACCTTGACCTTATCAT